TATATATATAATCATAAACAAACAGCCTTATTGTCCTAGTACACGCAGTAGCGGGGGTATACTCGAATGTCTAATGAGATACCTGCTGCGCACCCATGACGCAACGTTACATATTCTCTCTCTCTCTCTCTCTCTCTCTCTCTCTCTCTCTCTCTCTCTCACGCATAGGAGACCACTGACCCGGATTACGTGCACGGCTGCCGTGCGGCGAGCCCGCCGTCGTGCGAAGAATGTTCGTTCCTTTCACTTACTACAAGTGTAATCGCTCCTTATCAAAGCCAACGACTAGCGCCGGGACCGCCTCGCACCTGTGGGAGCTCCGTTACCGCGCGCACACCCGCGCGCCTCTATACCCGGCCAACAGAGAGGGCGGGTCACGCCCTAACAACGTGCCCCCTGATGACGTCGCAGCAGCCGCGGGTGGCTGACGGGCACGCTCAGCCACGCTAAGCCCGGGAAGGTTAAGCGCCTGTGCTTTTCTTCGCCGACAATGTCGGAGAAGATCGCGGAGCTGCGTCCTTGGGCGACCTGCGCGCACGCCGCCGCCCCGGGCTGCGGTGTCGTCTGCTGCCGATGGCGAATCGATCATGTTTACGAGAGGCATTCTCGTCGCATAATAGCGCCGCTCGTTGTGTACTTGTTAGTTTTTACCCCGTGCGCCGAGAGGCACGGCACAGCGTAGCTTCAGCTACTTACGTCGGGCCAAGCAGTGCAATGCTGTTTTCATGTATGCCTGGCTTCTTCGTTCATTTTCGTGACATTTGCTTTGTGTGTACTCTTCGAGAACTGCGCGTGTATTTATGCGTTTTTAATTTATATCCACATGCAGTCACCACAGTCGTTACGTTACCGCATACATTCATAGTCTCGATATGGCCATAGTTAATAACACACCGCTCAGTGTCATCGCCAACTTCTGTCATACAATCACCACTACCAACGCCATGTCCTCTATACACGCATCTGCTATAACTGTGCTCGGCGATACGCAACGAGCGCGAGTAACTCTCTCCAAACGCTCCCAAACTAATCTAACTAAAAACTCTCATCCTAAACTAAAACTAATACGCATGCATCATCTAACATGCCGACGAACGAACCGAACAATATACCTTCGGCCAGCCGTGAACGCAACTGTAGAACACTTGACAGTTGTTCGGGTCGGCGGCGAACGTCAGGTTTCCGACGTTTGGATCGCACTGGTCGACGACGGTCTGCGGCAGGAAGAAGCGCTTGTCGCGCCTCAGCGTCTTACCGGAGACGACGCCGACGACAGCTGAAACACGCAGATAGAGGACACCGAGTCAAATCTATATACATGCGATGCGCAGAGAGACGCCTGCATGCGATACAGCACTTACTCGCATAATACGGCATGTTTAGCCATGCACCTAGTGTTTATATGGTGTCTTCCCATTTCGCCATTTTCCCACTTCGCCATTTCCCA